TCCAAATCTGAGAATTTACAAGCTGAAACAGTTGAGGGGCTGTCTCTTCAACAGGACCTGGTGAATACTAAAGAAATACCCCTGTCCTCTGAAGTTTGTGGAAAAGAGAAGAAATGTCATAGGAGTCAATATCTGTTAAATAGGAAACACTAACGAATTAAGTACCTGGTGTCGTCATCCACCTATAAATATTCCACCAGCTGCAGGTTGTCCTCATTCCTTGCAACTGTCAGTGCTGTCAGTGGTTGTGTTTCTCTTGGGATTCTTGAATTCTAGATTGGCTATTTTTAACATCTCTTCATCTTAGCCATTCAGCTTTGGTTATGACTGCCAGTTCCACCCTTGCACCTCCTTTAATCTCTTGTGAACTTCCAGTATTATCTGTGCATGATTTGGACTGGCTTGACTTGTCTGGAGCTGTTTCCCCTCTCATTACCTCTCTGGACACTTGCTGTCTGTAGGCATAGACATTTATGGTCAAAGGTATGCATATGTATCCACTGCTGAGCAAGTCTTCAAGTTTCAGTAAACATGCAGATCCAAATCAGTTCCAATATGACTTGGGGCCTGTACAGACTGCCAGAAATAATGCAGCTTGAGACCATTTTAACTGTCAATCATGGAAATTGTAGTTTTTTTTCTGGGACATTGAGCCTTCTCTGTCAGAGAGTTCCGGTGTCACAATAAACTACAGTTCCCATGATTCCCTAGCACTGAGCCAGGGCAGTTAAAGTGGTCTCAAGATGCATTATTTCTGGCAGTCTGTGAAGGCCCTTAGTCTGTGTGTCTATGAAACTGTACACCAAGAGATGGAAGTACAAAATCTGTCTTGTGCCTCCAAAAAAATTAGGCATACTTTGAATTAAGAAGTACAGCATCTCAGGTAAAGCATTTGGAATTGGTGTCAGATGTCACTCCAAAGTGAGAAATCAAGATAATGACCAGAGAACCAGAGTGGGCTTTCCATGGTCAAGCATCCATATGGAGAGACTGTTTTGTGAAGCTGGCAAAGCAGTGCCCAGGCACATGCCAAGATGTTGGCACACAGGCATTCTGATCTGAAGATTGGCCAAAAGTGCTGACATCCAAATCGATAATTCAGCACATTCTTTGACGTGTAAAAGTGTCCACCAGAGAAGCAGGCACTGCCCCAAAATTGGAGCAGGTTTCTGGAACTGGAGACCATAGCCTACTCTCAACAGTGCAGATTGCCGCAAAGAGAATCTGGAACAAAATTGCAGTTCTAGATTCTCCTTGGCTTGCCCAATATTTCAAATGTCCCTCTCTCTATTCCTGCATATCATGGTACAATATATATTGCTTTCAAGACTGCTTATGTATATAAACTGGGACCTTTCAGCTAACAGGAATTCATGTGCTCTCCTTCACCCTCCCATGCCTGCCTATGTGAATTGATTATATACAGCCATCCTCTACAGCTATTTTCAAGATAATAGCAATTGTTAAAAGTCTTAGTAGTGAAGAAAATAGCCAGAGAATCTGTCAATAATTTTTTGTCTTGGCTATGGATTGACTGAGTACCCTTAGGCAAGCAGTTTCAGCAGACTTTCCTGCACAAAAACATATGCCTCAGGACTCCTTTCAATTGTGTTCATCTGTACATATCTAAAATTGTGCCTTACTTTTCCCTGCAGGTTAATTCACATATGTCCTCCTTGATATGGAAACATGTAGAATTCACCCATCAGCCTGTACCAAGTCTTGTTGCAGCATGCAGTATGACTCTCCAATGCCCAGGTCCTTTTAGATATATTAGCAAACTGCTTCCTAAACACTTGCTGGACTTTTCAGCCTAAATCAGTGGTATGCTGTTTGCATTCATTATTTTAAATGCATTATCACAAGCTGTGTTAAGTAGAAACACAGAAAGCTGATTATACCAGGTTGCAACATTTGTTTATCTAGCCTACTGTTACATATGTGTGTGTGCACGCACCCCTTCATGTTACCTGTTGACATATGGAGACCCCATGAACCTCATCGGGGTTTTTTAGGCAAGGAATACTCACGGATGGTTTGCCATTGCTTTCCTCTGAAATGTAACCTTCTGCACTTGGCATTCTTTTGTGGTCTTCCATCCACGTACTAAATAGGGCTGACTCTGCTTAGCTACCATGATCAGCTAGGATCTGGTAAATTGGGGAATTTAGGATATCCCCAGCTATATTAATGCCAACAAAAACTGGCAGCCATTTGCCAAGGTCTCTGGCAAAGGGCTTTCCCATCAGTAGCTACCTAACCCTTTCCAACTGGAGATGCCAAAGCATGAACTTGGAATATACATGCTAAACCATGTGTTCTATGCTTTCTTAAGATAAAAAGCAATATTAAATGCCAGCATGTTTTAGTTACCTAAACCTCTGAGAAAGAAACTTCTTTTTATGCCTGCTGAGTTCCCCTTTCTTCCTAGTCCTCTAACTAGGCTTTTTAAAAGCAGCATCAGCATTGGGAGGATGGTGAAGGAGGGCTATAGAAGCACAAACTTTCAGTGTTCAGTTGCAGAAGCATGTCCTTAGTAAACACAATACAGTTTGAGCAGGAAAACAGGGTTCTATTCTAGCTGATCCAACTATAACTACATGTGCCTCCTTATAACAGGCAAGGTAAACAGCAGCTGCCTTTTGAATCCCCTACTGAGCAGCAAAACAGAGACAACGGGAGCCGATAATGAGAGCAGATAAGTCTCATCAGTATAAAAAAGAGCATAAATCTACATGTTTGGCCCTAAAATGGAAATTATTAGAAAAGTGTAGGCTAGAGAAAGAAAAAAACCATCCTTGGATGCATTATGGAAGAAGCCTTTAAGTGGTCTTGGATTACAAATATTTTGCTTATTCATGCAATGCTTACTTGACCTAGTTGTTGCATTTCTTGTACATATCTTTAGTTCTGAATAAAAAGTATACTGAAACATGTTGAAACTGCTCATTTTTATGTGGTATAGGAATCTACCCTTATTATTTCCATGTTATTTCTGCCTCTGGTACCAGACTTTCTGTTAAAGAAATCATGCCCAAGAACACATCCACTTTGTTAACTGAGGTATACTTGTTCCTGAAAAATTGCTGAACTGATTCTCACAACTGATTTATTTCTTCTTCCTGCTGCAGGTCCTTTCAAGGTCGAACCTAGATATTTCCTTCAAGGCATTTTAAAGTACTGTAACAAGACAAAGAGAGCCATTTCATAAGGTATGCACATGCATCAAAGTATTACACATTTTCAAAAACCGTAAGATGGAAACCATTAAAACTTTAGCTGATGGGCTGAACACAGGATCCATTAGTTATCTATATGAAACCAGTTTTGGCATAGGAGATAATGCATCCTTAGAGTTACAGCTGGTGTATTTGTTATTTGCTGATTGTTAGATTCTTACCTATATAAGTAGAAAACAAATTGAAATAGTGATTTATCTTCTGCTGACTTTTCAAAACCACTGATTGTCCTATAAGAATGGTGTTAATTTTATCATAACAGGATTAAGTAGGTTTTCATAAATTTCAATAAAAACATTAGTCTTTTCCTGTAGCTATAGATGTGACAGTCTTATAGATGTGAAGACCCACAAGCCCACTCTTCTTTACTTTAGCGGTGGTGGCGGCGGGTGGGGATCTTACTAGCAGACATTGTCAGATTTTAATATACTTACCCCTAAAAACATAAAAGCAATTACATATTACTGCTTCACCACTTACCCCCATATTAGTCAAAGCCTTTGGTTGCATTTTTATTTTAAAATAAAATATTCTACTTCAGACCACAAAATATGAAACTCTAGTGAAATAGACACAATCCAAACAAAGCTGGTCAAATAATGAGTTAAATGTTCACAGAATAATTAACAACCTTGTCCAGTCAAATAACAGAGACTCTACACATGGCCAACACAGCAAATTGCTACAAAAATATTCTTCACTGTCATGACTTTTAATTATCCATTGTCATCATCATCACCTCATACCATACCTTGAATGATAAAAGTCTGGGGACTCAATTTAAGGATAAGCAGCCTTGTTGCAAAGTGCCATTTCTAGACTCATTGTTCAAATGTCCATTGTTTAAAACAATATGCAATAACATATACATTGCACATACACCACTAATGGCCAGTGATGTCTTTCCAGTTGAAGAAAATTTGGCTTTATTGGTTGTTACTCATAATACACAAAGAAAGAATTTTTTAGGGGGGAAATAGGGTGCAAATACAGTTCCCATTCTCCCACCCCCACCCGTCTCAAATCTTGTGGCAGCTCAGCTATTGTATTTGAAGTGTGATGTGAATTGGTGGCAATGCAGACCTTTGTTACACTTGTGCAGCAGTCTCTGCACAATGCCCTGATTGAGTGGGAGCCATTTGCAGCTCAGATGTCTATGATCTGTGACCTAAAAACAGCTCTAATTAAGTCTGACACAGTCGCGTATTAGCTTGCTTGAAAGGCACTACAATCTATTCACATTAGCCCCATTCCCCCAATAAAACATTCTACCTCTCTAAGCTGGCAAGCTACAGCTCTAGTCCATTTAAGCTGGCTGCAGATCTAACATAGATTGGGACCAAAATAATAGCTTACAAGGATTTTTGAAAAATGCAAGCAGCGGATGGAAATGAAGAAGAATCTGCAATATATTGTGGAATGTGTACTTCTTTGTTGGCAAGACCACCAACAGCTTCCAGCAAAATTCAGCTTTGGCTCTAAACATGTAATTAGAACAACCTCTGAGTGACTAGCTTATGGGGCTTCACCAGGATAAAATATTCAGTGAGTAAACCAAATAAGCTACACTAGCAATGTGAGATGTTAATGTGTAGTGGGATTGTCTACCTCACCCTGTCTCAACTTAAAGTGTTTTTTAATGGCAGAATAGGACAAATAATATGAAAGTATTTTCACTCTTGGACATGTGACAACGATTAGGGACCATTTCACAAATGATGACTGGAATTCTTTGGGGCATTTAGGAATACATAACCTACAGCCATCATAGTGTAGTGGTTTGAGCTCTGGACTATGACTCTGGAGTCCAATGTTCGAATCCTGGGTTGGCCATGCAAACCCACTGGGTGGCCTGGGGCAAGTCACACTCTCTCAGCCTCAGAGGATGGCAATGCCAAACCCCCTCTGAAGAATCTTGCCAAAAAATCCCCATGATAGGTTCCTCTTAGGGTTGCCATAAGTCAGAAACATCTTTCATATGCAGAATGTATAACTTAGTATCCTTACCACCAACTGAATTGTTAATGCTTTCAACCCACATTCAAGATGAAGTAACAACTACACTGATGGTGCCTTCAGAAATAAATTAT